GAAATGCGTTTTTCTAAAGTATTTACGTTTTTTTAGGACATCCTTAATCTGTATTATAGAAATGATGTAGAGAACAATTGTTTGGTTGAAATTTCTTCATGCTTCTTGCGACTGGTTTCTATTTAAGGTCGAAGCTGTTAGTTGCACGTGCATTGATCCTATTCCTAAACCACCGAACGATCGGCGAGGCTGACGCGGCGCGTTGAAAACGCCTAAATTGCCGTCTCTCGATTAGCGTGACGAACCGAACGAAATTCGGATTCGTAATACGGTCGCAGATTACGTCGACCGCAGATGCGAGACTGCATAGAAGACCCGAAGACGAAGATTTGCGGTGGAGAACAAGCAAAAGTATGCAATTTCAGTGTTCGCACGCTTTTCGACGGTTTCACCCATTGTCCCTGAGTCTCACCCCTTCTTCTCCTAGACGCCAGTTGCATAAAAGCGTCCCTAAAAAAAAAAAGAGATTCCCTTAACTTCTGCTGTTTCTTTCAATTTCATCCTCTCTACTTTCTCAATAATTACCAACGTCCGTGTGATCGTTCAATCTATGCCAAATGTATGAAACCTTGAAACTCTGCAAGCTCAAGTATGATTATAACTCCATATACAAAAATAATCGATCAACTCTTTTTGCTATTAGCCTGACTGAACGTAATGATTTTCTTACTGCTGTTCGATTGTTCCTTTAAATTATCGGTTCGACTATAGATTCGACTTGCTGTTTCTTGTCGCTGCACAGGTAACACCGTATTATCGACACGGCACGCGCCTTGTCCGAAATATGGCGAACAGATGATCACGATTCAATGCCTCGAAAACACTAGTTTCATTCAGCAGAACGCAATTCCGTGGACAATCGTACCGCAAGATGAATAACTACAATTTCCAAGCCTGCCCAACTTCTCTTACAATTTAATAATTACTAAAATGACAATTTCTATATAATATTGTACCATTTTGGTAAACGCAAATGGCTGCTTTTAAGAATCTCCATTGCACTTAGCTAGGAACATTTTCAATCTCACTTTAGGTTCCGCAATTAAGGAGTAATTAATCCCGTGCGCCTCGTTTGTAGTAGTCACGGTTCGCCGGTCAGGATGTAACCGATGCAACAGATGACACCGGCTCCTGGGTGCCACCGCCTCGTCTGACTTATCCGAGGGAGCGGGACCCGTGCCATGTGGCATCCCCGTCCACGTGCAACCATCCCGACGCGTCATCGGTATAGTTAATTTATGATTCTGCCTAACAGATACCTTTCGAACCCCGATTCCCTGTTTATTCACAGAAACCGATACCCCACAGCCTTCACCAAAATGGCAGAATAGAAGTTACTTTTTTTATATCGATTTTTATGAACGTTTTGACCGAGACGGAGGAGGAACGCGTTATCTGAGTGTAAAGGTACCAGCCGTGACGCTTTTGTCGGGCTTCGCGGGGATAATATTCGCGGAGTTCGACAGGAAACGTCCATTAGCGCGGCA